AAATTTACTTCAAGTTGTAATCTGATCGTCCCGATTTGTGGGATGAATCAGTTTCTAGTAATTTACAGAAACACTAGTGGAATTTTACAACTGGGCGAGGCCCCATGATTTTTTCCCTTTTTGGGTTTTCCACGTAAAAACTCTGGTATCCATTTCTCTTTTCGGTTTGTGTGCTGAATACACGTGCAACGCTAAGACAAATTTACAAACTCTACCGCAGCGTATATTCTAGCACGCAACAATTTCTGGACTTGCTCATCCTCAATCACGATAGGAAGATGAACTTGCCGATACAGCGAGTTCAACACATCCTTCCCCCTCGACTCGGCAGCCTCGCATTCTTTCGGATCTCCTAGAAGGCTCTCCCCAACCACACATTGCGGAACTCCCTCACAATGTCCTGCGTCGCGAACTGCGAAAATTGGTACGGAAAGAGTTCCCCCGAGGAGATGCGAGGCATGCTCTCCGACAGAGGAACTTCCAGGAGTCATCACCTCTAACTGAAGCCATTCTCAGCACCCCATTCCGGTCAGATTCAAAGTGCCAAACGTTGAGTCCTACGACAGGACAACCGACCCGTATGAGCATATCGACTACTATAGAACCATCATGCATATTCAACGAGCATCAGACGCACTCCTTTGCCAGGTCTTTCCTACCACCCTCAAAGGATAGGCTCGCACATGGTTCTACTCGCTTCTGTCAGGGACGATCCCTTCATTTGTGAAATTAGCAAAAGCTTTTGTCGAGCAATTCGTAGCCAACCGAAGAATTACTAAGGATTCCTCTCACCTCTCTGGAATCCGCCAAAACGAAAGAGAATCTTTAAAGGAGTATTTTCAGCGATTTTTCACTGAAACTTGATAAATCCCAGGAGTAGATCCTGAACTGTTGAGATGAGTCTTTCTTGGAGGTCTTCGCCCTGGCCCTTTCTATTCGGCCCTCATGCAAGACACCGTTCATTCATAAGCCGATTTGATTCATCGCGTGGAGGCCCAAATCTATGCAGATGAAGCTATAAATGCTCACAGGAAGCAGTTTGAGCAAATCAACGGAAAGCGTAAAGGTGCACCTGGGATGGACAATTCATCCTCACAACAGAAAAAGCAAAGGCAGAATGATCTACCTCCTAGGCCTCCATTACCGCGATGGGAACCCCAACAGGAGAAGGTGTATACCCCACTCAACATGTCTCGAGCAAATGTATTGATGGTCGTTCGAGATCAAGATATATTAAAATGGCCAAACCCTTTGAAGTCGAATACAGGAAATTTAGATCAGTACTGTCACTTTCATCGTAGCCGTGGTCACACTATCGAAGCTGCAAACAACTCAAGGATGAGATTGAAAGGCTTATCCGTCAGGGCTTTCTTCAACAATTTATTCAAGATTCACCTACCCGAGAGGAAGCTCGTCCCGCTGGGGGGCAAAGTCAACAACAAAGACAACCATTGAATAATATTCAAATGGTTGGAGAGATTGAATGATCACGCACTTCGTGTATTTGTATTAGCAATATTACCTGTCTTGTTGTCGCTTTTATGTTGAGTAGAGTGTCACTTTGATATCTCTAATATCTTCTTCCAAGTTTAATATTGTGTTGTGCCCGTACGTAGATCTTATGTATTGAGTACATTGTAATTTGTATATCCCTAACTCATACTAGGGAACTGTTGTACTATCTTACATAATGCAATAATATAATGTTCATGTTGTTGTGATATCATTTTCTCTTATGAAAGATAAGAAAAAACTTCTCAATTTCTCTGTGATTCGAAAAATACACAATCTACATTGTATCTCAATCACCGGATGATCAATCCCAAGGGGATTTGATCTGACCTCATCCACACAGGTTAATATCATCGAGCAGGGCTCTGACATATAACCTCGGATAGGTCTTACATCCTTGGTGGATTCTCCCGACCTCTTCCACACAAGTTAACGTCGTCGAGCAAAGGCTCCGACATACAACCTCGGATAGGTCTTACATCATTGGTGGATTCTCTCGACCTCTTCCACACAGGTTAATGTCATCGAACAAATATTCTGACATACAACCTCAAATAGGACTTCTACCCGATGTCAGACTTCTGCTCGTCAGCGGACTTCTACTCGTCGTCGGACTTCTGCTCGTCGACGAACTTTCGTCAGTCTTCTACACGACGTTGAACTTCTACCCGACGTCGGACTTCTCCATGTCGTCGGACTTCTCCTCGTCATCGGACTTCTGCTCGTCGATAAACTTTAGTCATTCTTCTACCCGACGTTGAACTTTTACCCGACGTCAGACTTCTCCCTGTCGTCGGACTTCTGCTCGTCAATGAACTTTCGTCGGCCTTCTACCCGACGTTGAACTTCTGCCCGACGTCGGACTTCTCATTGTCGTCAAACTTCTGCTCATCAGCGGACTTCTACTCGTCGTCGGATATCTCCTCGTCGACAAACTTCCGTCGGTCTTCCACCAGGCATCAAAATTCTGTCTGTCGTCGGACTTCTGTCTGTCAATGGACTTTCGTCGGTCTTCTGCCCAACGCCGTATTTCTACCCGACGCCGTATTTCTGTAGTTCAACAGATCTCTCGAAAAACTGAAGGGCGGAAGAAAAATTCCGTAACTCCTGCACGAGAGGGGGGCGCTAATTCGAGCAGTGGAAATTTCCCACTCACAAATAGCGGAAGCCTCAACCGTTAGAAAGCCGTGGGGGAAGGAAGAAAAATCCCGTAACTCTTGCACGAGAGGAGGGGCGCTAATTCGAGCAGGGGAAATTTTCCACTCGCAAATAGCGGAAGCCTCAACCGTCATAAAGTCGTGGGGGAAGGAAGAAAAATCCTGTAACTCCTGTACGAGAGGAGGGGCGCTAATTCGAGCAGGGGAAATTTTCCACTCGTAAATAGCAGACGCCTCAACCGTTAGAAAGCCGTGGGGGAAGGAAGAAAAATCCCGTAACTCCTGCACAAGAGGGGGCGCTAATTCGAACAGGGGAAATTTCTCACTCGTAAATAGCGGAAGCCTCAACCGTCAGAAAGCCGTGGGGGAAGGAAGAAAAATCCCCGTAATTCCTACACGAGAGGAGGGGCGCTAATTCGAGCAGGGGAAATTTCTCACTCGCAAATAGCGGAAGCCTCAACCGTCAGAAAGCCGTGGGGGGAAGGACGAAAAATCCCGTAACTGTTGCACGAGACGAGGGGCACTAATTCGAGTAGGGGAAATTTTCCACTCGCAAATAGCGGAAGCCTCAACTGTTAGAGAGCCAGAGGGAGAAGAAAGAAGAATGTGCAATTTTTCTAAAGGCCTAGGGGGCCTATTTATAGGTTTTGAAGAGAATATTAGGGAGTTATTGCCATTTTCGAAATCCCTAATTTTTCTAAAATTTCCCCGAATTTTTCGAGATTTTTTCAGAATTTTTGGGTCCAAAAATAGCAAAAAAACAACATTTTTGCACTCGTGGGCCCCACCTAGGTCATTGGCAGCCAACCGACACGTGAGAACCCCGCCGATCTGCGAAGCCCTTCACGCGGATCGCAACAATTCAACGTGACACACCGATTTCACGTGAAATCGGACGCCGGCAGCGGCCCGCCGGCGGATCCGCGGCAAACCACGCGTGGCTCATTGCGCGGGCCGCGGAACAGGCCAGGCTAGCCCTGGTGCAGTGCGGGCGACCACAAGCG